GCGGCCACATGGACTTGTAATAATTGACTGCACCCAGAAAGGACCGAACCTGTGATTGATTTTGGGGAACTCCCATCTTCAATATCCCATCTACCTTCTTTTGCCATGGCTTAACTCCGGTCTGGGTTAGCCAATATCCAAGAAAATCAGATTCTTTCACTGCCCACTCACACTTGAGAGGATTTCATTTCATCCCATTGGAAGTCAATCTCTCCAGGACTGGATAAACCAAAGAGAGGTGTTGAGTAAATGGTCCMCGTGACCAAATCCCCATATCATTGATATAGACTTCGAGATCCAATCCGTGTAGGATTTTAGTGATAAAGGCTTGGGCATAGTCTGGGGATGATATTAGTCCCATCGGTAGTCGTAAGCATCTGTAATTGCCATGGGTGGTAGTGAGAGTGCATATTTTCTGGCTTTCGTCGTCCAAATCAAAGCAGTAGAACATCATAGACAGATTGATCTTCGTGAAGTGATCATACCGTGTTCTTCAGTTCATGATGTCTTGGATCTTGGGGAGATTGAACTTAGGTCTTTTAATCCTTTTGTTTAACTCTCATAGGTCAACAAGCCATCTGACTCTGCCATCCTTTTTTGGAGTGATAAAGGCTGGGAAGCCCCATTCTGAATTGCCAGTGGGAGTAATCACTCCCTCATTAACCAGATGCTGGCATTCCCTTTTGAAGACATCTCTGTGTCTGTAGGGAACTGGATATGGATTTATGTAAACTGGTTTGGCGTTATCCTGCAGATCAATATGGATCTCCTCGTGAGGATACCGACCTAGTTTGCCGTCAAACAACTCTGTGTGTTTGGCTAACATCTCTTGGAATGCTAGTCTTTCTGTTCTGTTCATGTGCTCTTGCTGGTCTGCAACCTGCTTAGGAGTCACCTTCTGGTACTGTGCGTCCAGAATTCTGTTGGGTTCTGTTTCTACAGGAGCCCTGGCAGCATCCGCTGCTTTGACAGCATCTGCTGCTAAATAACTGTCCAAACCGGCTGCACGTCTGCAGCTTGGTGGCTGGCAGCTGCTTGGAGGGAACAGATGAAACTTGAAGAAACCTCCATCTAAGAGTTCATCATCCTCTGCAATCCACATGGCTTCTGCCACATTCTGGGGATCATTGAAGTGATCCGTTGGTTTCATATCAATGGTTGAGCCTAACCATCTGATGGTGTGTGTGGAATAGAGAAGATTTATTCCTGTCAACATTAAGAAGTCTCTTCCTAGGATCATGTCATAGTTACAAGGAGCTGAAAAGAGCCTTGCGTTGATCCCTTGTGTATATTTGCCGTTGCCAAACTTTGGGAGACAAATATTGGAAATGAAGACATACTTGGACGTATCAAAGCTTCCCTGAGCCGTAGTTGTGACTGAGCTGAATTGGTCCTGGAAGGGAACTGTTCCTGGTGGAAGGCAATGCTCATGAATAAGGCACATTGTACTCCCACTATCTAATAGAACCTTGAATATGTTCAATGTTGGTAGGCCTTGGATGGCTTTACATACTAGGATGACCACTGGTAGTACATCCTGCATATTCGGTGGTGTTTTCAGAGCTCTCAAAGTGACTGCTGTTGGATTCTTGAGGGCTTCATCATTATCAAGGCCATAAAGCTCAAGGCTATTTGTTGGTGATTGAGTGAATGGTGGTGGAGGCAATGCAAAGTAAGCCTTGCGTGAATGTCACCACTGTTGATTTGGGCCTTGTCCTTGTCCTTGGAATTGAATCGTCGAGTCCAGACTGCTGTTGGACTGTAGTGATACGTGGCTTGGAGGACCACTGGAGTTGGAGCCATGATAATTCTGAGTTTGGATCGACTGTGGTTGGAAATTGCTCATGTTCCCATGTTCATCCATATAATACAATCCTGGAGTGAACCTCTTACTGCTGTTGCTTGCATTTGAATTGCCCTGGTTTCTTTGATTTCCTCTGTTGTTATTATTATTATTTCGATTGTAACCATTCTTATTGAGTCAACAATCGCCCCAAAGATGTTGTCCCTCGTGTTTCCTACAAGGCATTGCATTGATCCTATTTTGTCTTTCTTCCGGGGTCTCATTCTGTCTGTTATTCCTATTATTGTTGCTGTTGTTGTTGCGCTTCCTCTGTTTCCCATTCCTTCCTCCTTGTCCTACACTGTTGTTATCATCTGCTGGTCTTTTTCTTGAACGTTGCTGCTGTTCCTCATCTGCTATTCCTTTTTGGTCAGTCATGAATTCCACAATCTCCTCAATTGTCTCATTGAGGATGTTTCTTCCACATTTGACGTAATCATTTTTCCAGGCTTTGGGGAAAGATCTAAAAAGGATCTTCTTGATCTTTCTGTTTGTTAAGGGCTCTTTGATGCCATGAAGAATGTTTGCTCTGGCGCAACAGGTCTGAATTCGGTCTGCATGGGTTTCACAGGAGACCGAGTGAGGTTTCCTGACAGCTTCTGATTCCAAGTATTCAATTACATCATCCCTTGCGTACTTGGATGATGCATAGAACCTTCTGAAGGTGCAAAGAGCTGTTTCCCAATGTGCTTTAGTGTTCCTTGGTATTTGCAATCGATTGTTGCGCCACATGTTGATCCATTTCTGTCTGGGCCTATGCGAGAGGGGACCATTTGCCACTTATTGTCTATTTGATCCTCCTCTATTTCCAGGTCCAGGATTGCATCTTCAAAGTCTTCTTGTACATGGAGCAATTCTTGTAATCCATGCTCCCCTGAGAAGGTTGTGCAGGTCTTCGATAGCTTTCTTACTGGGTTTTTGAGATTCACAGTCATTGAGACTGTTTTCAACTGAGCTGGATCGAAGTTGTTTGTAAGTCTTAAACAGGATCGGTGTGTTATTTGTTTGGAGGAGTTGGTATTCTTATTTGTCTTCACCATGGTCAATGGTATTTTTGGTTGATTTTCTTAAGGGTTGATTAATTCCGATACACGAAAAATCACTTAGTAATTACTGTGCACGAGATTACGTGTACTCTTAGTATGTTTTAAGTGTGTATGAAAATTG